ATTAGAGGAAAATCGTTTTTAAAAGTATTATCACATTATAGTTGGTTTAGTTCAGTATTCACTCACTTTTTTTAATGATTTTTGGTAGAAATTTAATTTATATTTTTTCCCCAAAAGTGGATCTGTAGAATAAGTCATTAATAAATTTCTATTAATCTATCACACAGATGGTATTTGCAGAGTTTTCACAAATAATCTCATCAACCCCTTCCCTACCCTCTTTACCTCCCAACTCCCCCCACCTCAAAATTAAGACAGTCCTAAATACGAAGATTTCTTCTAAAAATATAAATGAAACACCAGGGCACATGGATAAAAATTATTCTGAGAAACTTGAGCATTTTGAAACTTGAGCATTGATGCATTTTTGACCATCTAGAGAACACTATTAAATAATCTCAATTTTTAGAAGTTTTTCTCTCAGTAGTACCTCTAAGTTGCCATTATTTTTATTAGCTTGCTATAAGGCAAAGCATAAAGTGTCACGTTTAACTCTGCTCGTCTCATTTCATAATAAGTTATCAAGTGTTTAACAGCTTAAGATGACATTGGATTTACTGGCACAATGACAGTTTGACTACAGAGTTTGGAGCTAAAGCATATGCTAAAAAATAAGCCTAAGGTGCACTGTATAAAAGAATTAACCATTATTGAACTAATGTAAGAAATAAAAAGTAATAGATTTTTGTCTTCTTTTACTTATCAAGAAATCTCTATATTTGATTGAACTTTAACTGTTACAACTATATTATTTTCTTTTATATATATATACGTTGTGTGACTTGTGTAAACTTACATAAAATATGTTAAAATAACCTGTTACAGAAAAAAACTAACCCAACTTACATTACTTCAAGGCTTGTGTATAGAAGATTATGAATAGAAAGAGAATTTATGTATAAATTGCCATCACAACAAAATAACACTATCATGTGGAAAGCAAGTTATGTTTTATATATTTTAACCTACATATAACCATAGCATTTAAGAAATTTGCCTCACCTGACTAGGAGTTCTATATTGGGGCACCTCTTAAAAACAGTTAATTACCTATATGTTCCTACTCATACTACTACTTATATTTGTCATGATATCTGTACCAACCCAAATCATCAAGGTCAAATAGTCCTTCTCTGGGATTGGGATATCCTAGAAAAAAAGAAGAAAGATGGATTAAGGAAAAAAAAAGAAAAGAAAAGAAAAAAAAAAGAGCTTTTAAGGATTTTATACTTAAAATTCATAGGTTGATTTTTTTCACCATTGTACAAAATCCCTTTAAATTTTTTCTTTATAAACTGTATTAATGTTTTTCATTTAAAGTAGTATCATAAAAATTTATAAATTTATATTCAATGTCATCATCTTTCTTCTTCCTGCCCATTAATATTTCCTGTGATAATATTCTGTGGCATAGTATACAAATTTATCTTTAATATATTCTCAAAATTAGTCTACAAATTCAGTGTGATTCTAACAATTAATAAAATTAAAAGACAGAGGAGGGCTTGGTAAATGCTTTAGAAATTGATCCAGAAGGAAAGGAAACTTCCTCAACATCATAAAGGCCACATATTAAAAATCCAGAGCTAATGTCATACTCAGTGGTAAACGACTGAAAGCTTTCCCCTAAGATCAGGAATAAGACAGGGTGTACACATTTGCCACTTCTATTCAAGACAGTACTGGAAGTTCTAACCAGAGCAATTAGGCAAGAAAAAGGAAAACAGGAATCTAAATTAGAAAGAAAATAATAAAATCACCTCTGTTTGAAGATGGCATGATCTTTTATGTAGCAAACCCTAAGGATTCCACATACACAGTCATGCAAAAACCTGTTAGAACTAATAAATGAATTCAGCAAAATTGCAGGCTACAAAACCACACAAAAATCAGTTACATTTCTATTCACTAACAATGAATAATCTGAAAAGGAAATTAAGAAAACAATTTCATTTACAATAGAATCAAAAAGAATAAAATACTTAGGAATAAACTTAACCAAGGAGGCACAAAACTAGTACACCGAAAACCACAAAACTGCTGGAAAAAAATTAAAGACATAAATAATGGAAAGACATCCTGTGTTCATGGATTGAAAGATTTAATATTTTAAAACTGTCAATACTATATAAAGCAATCTACAGATGAAGTGCAACTCCTATCAAAATCCTGATGATGCTTTTTGCAGAAGTAGAAAAATCCATTCTGAAGTTCATATGAAACCTCAAGGGACCAAAACAATCCTAGAAACGAGCAAAGTTAAGAAGATTCATATTGTTTGATTTCAAAACTTCGTACAAAATTGCAATCATCAAAACAGAGTGGTACTGGCATAAAGACAGACATACAGATCAATGGAATAGAATAGGGAGCCCAGAAATAAACCCTTGAATATATGGTCAAATGATTCTCAATAAGAGTGTCAAGAACAATCAACGGGGAAAAGGCAGTCTCTTCAACAAATGGTGCTGATACAACTGGATATCCACATGCAAAAGAATAAAGTTGGACCCTTAGCATATATAAAAAATTAACTCAGAATGGATCAAAAACCTAAACATAAGAGCTAAAACTATAAAACACTTAGAAGAAAACATAGGGGAAATCCTTCATGATGTTGGATTTGGCACTAATTTCTCAAATGTGACCCCAAAAGCACAAGTAACATAGGAAAAAAACAGATAAATTGGACTTTAAAATAAAAAATTTTTGTGCATCAAAGGACACTATCAACAGAGGGAAAAGGCAATCTACAGAACAGGAGGAAATATTTGCAAATCATATATTTGATAAGGGATTAATATTCAGAACTCCTAAAACTCAAAAACAAAAATCGATCCAATATGAAAATGGCCAAAGGACTTAAACAGATATTTCTCCAAAGAAGATCTACAAATGACCAATGGGCACATGAAAAGATGCTCAACACATTCTTAATCATTAGGGAAATGCAAATAAAAACGGCAATGACGTGCTACTTCGTATCTATTAGGATGGTGCTATGGTTTGAATGTTTGTCTCCTTTAAAACTCATGATGAAATTTAATTGCAGATGTGAAGTTATTAGGAGGTAGGGCCTTTAAGAGGTGTTTATGAGCCTTCATGAATGGACTAATGCTGTTACTGCAAGAGTATGTGTGTTATCGAGGGAGTGGTTTCGCCCCTCTTGCTCTCTCTGGCCCCATCTCTGCCCTTCCAACAGGGATGCCTTTGCCATGTGATGTTGCTGCAAGGAGGCCTTCGCCAGATGCCTGCACCTTGCCATTGGACTTCCTAGCCTCCAGAACTGTGAGAAGTAAATTTCTGTTCATTGTTTAATGAGTAGAGTTTCCATTTGGGATGATGAAAAAATTCTGGAGATAGATGGTAGTGAGGGTTGCACAAAAATTTCAATGTATTTAATGTCACTGAATTATATACTTAAAATGGTTAAAATGGTTAAAAAAATAAAAAAGTTGATTTGGAAAAATTAACATGAGAATAGCCTGGTAATTTCTGAAAAGGGAGTGTTCTAGTAGATATTAAAATGTATATAAAAAAAGACTTGATTCTGGTACAGGAATGGACAAAGTTCAAAGGAGAAAGGAGGCTAGAACACCTATGAATTCAATGTATGATAAAAAGTGCCGTGTCAAACCAGTTGGGAAGAAGACAACTTATTCAACAAATGGTGCTATTTAGCTATTGGATGGGGTAGGCGGGGTGGGGGGGAACCCTATCTCATTCCATATATCAGAATGAATTTCAGATGTACCAACAATTTAAATGCAATTTCATCTTGGGGAAGACCTAAAGCCTTTATAAGACAGACACGAAACTCATAGCCATTATGGCAACATCCAACTACCTATCAATATAAAACTTCTGAACACATAAATGACCACTGATAGAATAGTTATTAAATAAAATATGGTATATATTCAAGTCATCATTAGAAAGGATGAGAATAAATCTAAACACAATCACAATCCAAGACACTAAATGGAAAAAATACAAGTTGCAGAAAAATATGTACAGCATGATATCATTTTTAAGAAAAGGAAAAATATCAAACTACATGTATAACTGCACATAAAAAGATGTTGATGTATAGAAATAGATAAAAGAAAAAAAAGAAACCCCAAACTATTAACTGTGATTAACCTGGATTATGGACTAGAAAGAGAACTAATCTTTTACTGTGTATACTTTTGTAATGTTTGAAATTTTACAAAGATATATTGATATACTACTCATGTAATTAAAATATAAAAAGCAATCTATATCCAAAAGCATAAAAAACTTAAAAGAAAACTGACTGGTAAAAATAAAACAAAAAAAACCTGGAAAAAACTGTCACTTCATATTAAAAAGGGCTTTTTAATTCATAATGAACTCTCAAAAATAAAAAAAAAATCAGAAACCTAATAGAAAAATAGGCAAAGGATATGAATAAATAAATGTAGACCCAAAAAAGTTCAGCTTCATTGATAATTAAAGACATGCAAATTACAACAAGATGTCAGTTTTTGTCCATCATTTAAAAAGTTCTTTATATCAGTAGGATAAAGAGTTACCGAACCTGGATAATTTGAAACTGGAGGCTTGGTGGGATGAGTAGGCTTCGGACCTAGAAAAATAAATTTGATTCTATAAACTCGCCAGTCTTATTGATACCAGCCTTTTAAATTTTGATATTTGATTTTTAAAAAAGATTATTTATCAAAATGAAAAATACACATACTTTGCGAACTTTGCAATTCTAGTTCTCACAATTTAACCTACATATATATTTGCACAAGTATAGAAGATTGTATGCATAAGAATGTTCACTATAGCTTTGTATTTTATAATGGAAATCCTAGAAGTTAACTATTAATAAATCATAAAAGTAATGTGTTTGAAGTAAACATACGTATCTTTTTAGAAAAAAAATCTAAGTGGTATCATACTATATAATTTGCATCTTACTCTTTTCCACTGAGGGTTTCTTGGACATTTTTTCATACTAGCACACTTAGATCTACCTTAACACCATTATTAATTCTAGTGGTGACAGTCATATCAAGCTACCTTTAAGAGCTTCCCATATACCAGGCTGTGCTAAGTGCTTTAAATGCATCCTATTTAAACCTTACTATCACCCAGTAAAGAAGGCACTAGATCATTTTTATATGAGTAAACACATTAAAGTTCACATAACTTTCTCAAGTTCACATTCCTGTTTATATCTGTGGACTATGGCAAATGATTTCAGAATCACTATGTATAACAACTAAAATGTCTGTACAAACATTCTACCTCTTTTCATTACTAAAAATGATGAATGAGTGGAGATCATCAGGAATTTAAAGGAGCTGTGAAAAAATCACCAAGAATTTAAAAGATTTTAAAAAATATAAGCAGGAAGTTACTAAACCTGAGACACTGGAATTTAGAGGTTTTGCAGTGGAAGGAGTTGACACTGGAAAACAAAATAATAAGTAGATTGGATCAAACACTTGGGAGTTATTGCTGGCATTTCCTCCAAGAACTGACAAGATTTGTAGACCGGATCAACCCCTTGGGAGTTATTGCTTTCATTTCATTTATATGAATTATGCCTTTCATTCTTGACTTTTTTAGATAAACATGCCCATGCTTCAATTTACTCCAAAAAGTTGTTGCAATCCACCTATTATAAATAAAAATACTGAACAGGAGAAATTTACACACCCATGCAATATACACAACATGCTAAGCACCCCGGAAAAATCTACACAATCACAATAGCAGAATTCTTTGTGAATTTTATATGCTATACCTGGCACAGAAATAAATACCAGAGTTAAATACTAAAATTGCTTCTTTTCAATTATTCTGTATCACTGATATTTAATGTCAAAGAAATAAAGTCTAAAACAAAACAAAAACAAGAAGGAAAAAAGACAAACTTTGTACCTTTAGGACACGTTGGAATTGAGGGTTCCCAAGTACTATTTCCACCACAGATAATAGTGTCACTGCCATTAAGATAAAAACCTTTATTGCATTCAAACATAACCGTTGCTTTGTAGGAAAATGTTTTTCCAAATCCTGATATCTGTTTTCCATTTGCGACCACTGGAAACGGACATCTGACCACTGAAAAGTACAGAAACCAAAGAATTAATGGAAATCTACTTTGAAATAGGACCAGAAAAAGCACAAAGTAGTACTTTCTATGGGAACAAAGAGACAAGAAATGGAATACAAGATGTTAAAAAAAATTTTTTAAAGACTTTGTTTTAAAAAATTAAACATAAAGCATTTTAATGGATATATTTCTCTTGATATAGAATTCTAGGGTAAGGGTTTTGTTTTTCTTCCAGCACCTTGACAGACATCATTGGCTTCTAGCTGCAATAGTTTCTTAAGTCAGCTGTCATTCTTACTTGTCCTCCACCCTCCCAAATGTAATACGGTTGTTTGTTTGTTGTTTGATTCCCTCTCACTGGCTGCTTTTTTAACTTTTGTTTTCAGTAGTTTGGTAAAAACTACCAAACTACTGGGATTTTTTTGGTAAATTTTAATAATTTATTCATCCTGCTTAAGGTTCACTGAATTTCCCAGATCTGAGATTGTTGTTTTGGATCAAATTTGGATAATTTTTGGCCAATATTTATTCAAATAATTTTCTATACTGTTTTCTCTCCTCTCTTTCTGAAACTTCAGTTACATATATGCTCGACTGCTCGATACTTTCCCACAGCTCAGTTTAAGGCTCTCTCTCCATCTTTCTTCTTAAAACACGTTAAATTTCTGTTGACCTGCCTTCGGGTTCACTGATCCTTTGTTGTGTCCAATAGCACCTAATGATTTTTTTGAAGTTGGGATTATTCTAAGAACAGGGGAGCACTGATCCTGCATTTCTTGTTTACATCCAGTAGCTGAGACGGCCATCTCTGCAAGCCTGCCTTGGCCAGGACAGAGGCTGTCACACTGAGGCAGATCAGAAGCTGATGTGTTTGTATAGTCACTCTGGACTAAAGTGAGGCTGAATTTGTTTTTATGTCAAAAAAACCCAAACCTTTTCGAGTGCTTTCTATTGTTCAGAATTGAAAGAATGTCAGGGGTCCACTTAATAACTGTATTCACTTTGAGAACTGTGTTCACTTTTTTTTTTTTTTTGAGTTTAAATGCATTTTATTTTTAGACAACCTACATGACATGTTTTTTCCTTAAAAACAATGCCTTCACTCCAAATAAATCACGGTGAAAATAAATGAAGAGCTCAAGATGACATCAGTCCCATTTGTCTTAAATCCTGGTGTTGTGTGGGTGACAAGCAGCAGCCAGTTATGATGACAGGTGATAGATCCAAAGTAATTGCCAAATTTGTTAACATTTTTCCATTTCTAAACCATCATTAAAGAAAATCATATATGGGGTCACACCATCCTCACGGTAGTCCAGTAGAGCAACCATGCCATCTGGATTCATATTTTCACCAATGAAGAACTGGTAGTTTTTGAAATTAGCAAGGATGTGTTTGGATATCCAATTATATTGGATATAATTTACACATAGTAAAATTCCCCCTTTCATGTGTATATAGCTGTATGAATTTTGACAAATGCAAATAATAATCACATAACTACCAACACAGTAAAGATATAGAAAAGTCCCATTACTCACCAAATTTCCTCATGCCTCTTTGTGATGCACCCTTCTTCCCCCACCAACCAGCCAACCAACGATCTATTTCTCTCCTTGTAGCGTTGCCTTTTCAGAATGTCATATAAATGGAATCACAGCCTTCTGAGTATGGCTTATTTCAATTAGCATGATGCATTTGGGATTCATTTGTATTGTTACATGAACCAGGAGTTCATTTCTTTTTATCGCTGAGACAGGTTGTTCATCCATTCACTAGCTGAAGAACATGTGAGTGTTTCCAGTTTGGGGTGATTATGAATAATGCTGTTATGAACATCCTCATGTAGCTGTCTGTGTGAAATGTTTCCAGTTTACTTGGGTTGCTGAGTTGTATGGGAAGTGTGTGTTTAACTTTATAAGAAATTGCCAAAAGTGTTTCAAAGTGATCACTCCACTTTGCATTCTCACCCTCAATGTTTGAGAGTTCTAAAATAACTGCTCCACATCGTTGCCAGTACTTGGTACTGTCAGCTTTGTGTGTGCGTGTGCTTAAATTTCAGCCATTCTGATAAGTGTTTAGTGGTATCTCACTGTGAACAGAGACAGTTTTATTTCTTCCTTTCTGATAAGTATGTCGATTGCTTTCACTTGCCTTATTGTACTGGGTAGGACCTCCATCACAGTGCTGAACAGAGTGGTGAGAATGGACATCCTTGCCTTGTTCCTGACTTAAGTAATCCCTTTCTTAATTAGAAATAAATTGTATTAAGGGTTTTTATTTATCATTAAGTATGCTACTTTTTACCATGATATAATGTTTCCTTTTTACCATTAAGTATAATGTTAGCTGTGAGATTATTGTAGATGTCTTTTATCAGGTTGAGATAGTTCCCTTATAGTCCTAGTTTGCTGGGAAGTTTTATCATGTAAATCATGAAAAGATGATGAATTTTTTCAAATGCTTTCTTTTTTTTTTTTTGCATCTAGTAAGATAATCATACGGTCTTTTTCTCCTTTATAGTTTCTTGATATGGTAAATTACACTGATTAATTTTTGCATTTGAACCAACCTTGCATTCATGGGATAAATCCTACTTGGTCATGATGTACTTTTCTTTTTATATATCACAGGATTTGGCTTGCTAATATTTTGTTGAGGATTTTTGGTCCTATTTTTGAGGATATTATTTGCAATTTTCTTGTAATGTTTTTTTCTGGTGTTGGCAATGCTATCATCATAAAATAGGTTAAGAAGTGTTCCCTTCTCTTGCATTTTTTTGAAAAGCTTATGTAGAATTGCTACTATTTATTCCTTAAATGTTTGGTAGAATTCCCCAGTGAAGCCATCTGGGCTTGTAGTTCTCTTTGTGGGAAGGTTATTAACTACAAATTATATTTCTTTAATAGATATAGGACTATTTAGATTATCTTTACCTTCAGGTGAGTGTTGGTATTTTGTGTCTTTCAAAAAATTTGTCAATTTCATTTAAGTTGTCACATTTATAGGTATAAAGTTGTTTGTAATATTCCCTTATCATCCTTTAAATGTCTGCAGGGTATTTAATGATGTCCCCTTTTTCATTCTTGATATTGGTAATTTGTGCCTTTTTTTTTTCCTGTCAGTCTGGCTATAGGTTTATCCATTTTATTGATCTCCAAGAATCAGCTATTGGTTTTATTGATTTGCACTATTTTTTTTCTCTTTTCAATTTCTCTTTTTAATTTCTTTTCTTTTCTGTATTTATAGTTTCCTTCCACCTGCTTGTTTTGGGTTTATTTTGCTCTTCTTTTTTAGTTATTTAAGACGGAAAATGAAATCATTTATTTGAGACTTTTCTTTTTTTCTAACATAAGTATTTCATGCTACGAATTTCCCTCTAAGCAATGTTTTAGCTGCATCCTACAAATTTTTATATTTTGATATGTTGTGATGTTTTTACTAAATTCAAAATATTTTCTAATTTTCCCTCCTTCTTTTTTTACCCAGGGGTTATTCGGATGTGTCTTGAATAATTTTCAATTCTTTGGGGATTGCCTAGATATGTACTTCGAATGATTTCATTTTTTTGGAATTTGTTAAAAATTGTCTTATTGCTTAGAATTTGGTCTACCTTTGAGAATGTTCCATATGTACTTGACAAGAGTATATATTTTATTGGTATTCAGTGATTCCTTTTGTTACGGCAAGTGTCAGTGACCGGTCCCAGGGGAATAACCGAGCGGCACGCAGAGAGTTGGAGGGTCAGAAAGTTTTATTGCCGGCTGCCCTGAGGAGATAAGCCTCCAAATTCTGAGCACCTTTTCTGGGTTTTGGTCAGGTTTTGTACTTTTTTGGGGGAGTTACTCTTAACAAATCACACACAAGTATAAATGATTAACCAATTAGCAAAAAGATTTAAAAGTTATCCAATAAACAATAATTCTTATAAGTAGTAGAACTATGATAGGCTTATAACAAACATTAGAATCATGATAGACTTATAACAAACATTTTAATCATGACAGGCTTGCAGTTTTGTTCAGCTTTGCTCAACTGCTCTACGGTTTTAGCTTGCAAGGCTGACAGGTGTTAGTGTCTACTTTAGCTGCATTGTGGTTTTAAGCAGAATCAACACAGAAATTCCCCTAGTATGCATGGAAATTTCCCTAACACTTTCTTTCAAGGCACTTTCTTTCAAGGCACTTTCTTTCAATCCCCTCCTGTGTCTCCATGTTTTTGGTCACTCTCCAGTGCCTTAAACATTTGGGGATTTTTAAAATAAATTTTATTCAGTTTATCATTCCTGTTGATGAGAGGGTTAGTCTATTACAATCCACTCTACCACTACTTATAGCTAGAACTCTTAGATTTCTTGTAATATAAGATCAAACTTTCTTATATTTAAGCCAGCGTATGCTGGTTTTTTTGGTTCTTTCAAGCAAAAAAAATCCTAATTCATGGGTATACACAGTAGTTCACAATGTATAAAACGAAATGCCAGGAATACATGGGGTAAGCAATAAGGAACTCTACAGCTAAAACTATTTTTTTACTCGAATGGAGAGATATTAAATTAAATTAGAAACCAATTTTATAGGAGGAAGAAGCACATATGCCTGTGTTGTTTACTTTTAGGTAAAACTATTTCCAAAATGCTTCCACAGTATTTACAAATGAAGAAGGAAATAAAGGATGGATTATTACCTTTACACTCGGGAGCATCACTACTCCATTTTTGGTGGCTAGCACAATAAAGCGTCCTCTCTCCAACGAGTGAATATTCCTCTGGTCCGGGAGCAGGATCACAGCTATAAGTTACTGCTTCAAGATAATGAAATACTTCTACATCACTAAAGGTGTGTTTTCCATTTTCTATTTTTGGAGGTGGTGGACACAAAATCCCTTGAAAAGGGGGAAAAGAGGAAATGAAAGGCAAAAGGAAAGGTAAAGGATTAATGCAGCATTCATAAAGTTCTACAAACTTGCTTTCAATAAATTCATCAATCTAGGATTTCTACGAGCTGGTTGGGAATTCAATATCCATTTATAAGAGGGTTTCTATGAGAAAATATATTATCTCAAATTCAAATCATTAACATAGTGATGAATTTTAGAAACAAAACAACTCATTTTCTTGAAGTATATAATACCTCTATTTATTTGCAAAGCCATGCTAAGCTTTGTTCTAATCATCATAAAAGATGCTGATGATTTAATGAGAAAATATGCTTGAGATTAAAAACAAAACTGAGTGTTAGTTGAGAAATGCCTTATAATTTGTAAATATATCCATTCTCTAAATTGATGGTTCACAATAATACCAAGATATTGTCTTTTTCCACTCTCATCCTCACAAGTATTCAGTGATTTTTTTCCAGAGGCTACATATTGTGTGATAACAGACTGAATCCAAATGTCTTCCTTTAATAAAGCCACTATTCTCATTAATTTTTTTGTTTTGGAAAATTTTTATTTTTCATAAAAGTTATATTACATATGTTAACATGTACTGAGTTTATTGTTTTTACAAATGAATCAACAATTATTTCAAAACCTCTCAGTTTTAATCCCAATATAATAAATATCAATAGCTACAACTAACATAAAGGAAAGATCACTGGGATCCTTATTAATCTTAAAGCATAAAGGGGTCCTGAGGTCAGAAAGTTTGAGAACTGTTGGTCTAAATTTTAAAAAGAGAATTTACTTACTTGCACATATTGCGGGCTTAGCACTCCAAACTGCCTCCTCTCCTTTAAGTTCACAATGTACAACTGCTTCACCAATTAAGTAATAACTAAATGAAAAGAAGGTTACTGTTTCCTTTAGCAGTTAAGATGTACAAAATAATGAATGAAATTTTTATATAGTCATTCTTCTATGCTGCAGTAGTTTGAGGGAGAAGTTTCTTAAACAACATGCTATCTGATCAAAGTGCTAAATACATCTGCAATTTAATCAAATAAAGAATATCTCCATTTGCACACACATTGGCCAAGAGCAAAGATGTCTAAATAAATCTGCTGCGCCTGCCAGTCTGGCCTTTTTGCTGTCTCCTGCAATCACATTACACATTCATTTCTGTGCCTTTGCTCATGCCATTCTGCTCAGCAAGGACAACGACCATGTAGAGAGCTCAGGCCCTAGTGCTGGGCTGCCTGGATTTGAGTCCCTGCTCCACAACTTACTAGAGCGTGGGCAAGTCACTTCAAGTTTCTCTTGCTCAGTTTCCACATCAATTAAAAGGGGCTAAAAGTATATACCTCATGGGGTTGTTTAAAGGATTAGATGAGTTAGCATCTGACACACCGTAAGTGCTAGGTTAAGTTTTAGCTCTTATTAGTATTATTTAGATCAGAATATCTTTCTAGGAATCCCTCAGGAATACCCCTACTCAATGAAATCTTGCCAGATGATTTAAATTCACCAGACTCACTCCTTCTTCTGGACTCTCACTGTAATTGTTATGAATAATTCCACTTAACTTGGTAGTTTTCATTACTATTTTGCCTTGAGAGCTTTGGGTATATATTGTATTTTTCGATAAGGCTACAACTTCTTCAAGAAGGGTCTATGTCTTAAACTTCTGCTATCTCTCAAAGAGCCTAGCAAGCTCTGTGTAACTATTAACCGAATGTTCCAATATTGTACTTGACTAAATTAAAAAGCAGTCAGTGAAACCACCTTACATAGTCACAGCTGACTTTTCTCCCAAGGCTCACTCATTTTTTTCTTATTATAGTGTGTTACTGCTACAGTTTGAATGTGGTTTGTCCCCACCAAAACCCAGGATGAAATTTAATTGCCAGTGTAACAGTATGGAGAGGTGTGGGGTCTTTAGGAGGTGATTAGGTTGTTAAGAGGGATAGTGCCTTTCTCAAGGGAGGTTCTGAGTTAATTCTTGAGGGAGTGAGTGAATTCTCCTTCTCTGAGGATCGGATTAGTTACCACAAGAGCAGGTTGTCATGCTTTATTTTTTTAAATGCACTTGCTTTCCCTTTCTCTTTCCAGCATGTTATGATGCAGCACAAAAGCCCTCACCAGATACTGCTGCCATGTCCTTGCACCTTCCAGCCTCCAGAACTGTGAGCTGAATAAACTTCTTTTCTTTATAAATTACCCAGCCTCAGGTGTTCTGTTATAGCAACAGAAAACAGACTGAGAATATTACATTCATTCTCCAAATGCACATTTTCTGCAAATGCCCAGTATCCCCAATATATATTATTTAAAAAGCCCTACAGAACAAAGGTTATTATTAAGTGCTCAGTGCCTCTTTGAGATGCTTCAATTCTTTGCAGCAGTCTCAAAAATAAGGTTTTCCAACTGAGAGATTTTAATCAACATGGTGGTAAAGACTAACCAGGTCAACCTTGGTCTGGTAACACCTTACAGAGTTATGTGGCTATAAGAATACCTTTGGTTGACAATTCTACCTCCCATTTCTATGAGCCCTACTTCAACTCTAAGAGTTGGCAGATTTAAATAGGGTGCACTTTGTTGTGAAGGATGAAGTCACCACGATTACTGCATTCCTAATGCTTACAATAGGCTTATTATTAGACACAGCAAGTATTACATAGTTTTGCTTTTCTTTAATTTCATTTTTTTTTCTATTTATTACACATCTACCTCCATAAAACAGCCAAGAGTTGTTTGGCTAAAAATACAACTTGCCACACAGAAAGCAAAATTAAATCAAGTTCATATGAATGCTTAAGAAGAAAAGCAAAACAAAATTAAATTATTAATATTTACCTTATTTCCTCTAAGGAGCAACTTACTTACTTACCCCGTATTACAACTATAGTGCAACTGATAACCCCATGCAAAAGTTCCATTTGCCAGCAGTGCTTGGCCATTTTCAGGATCCTTTACGTATGGACATGCATTTCCTAAAAGAAAATAATTTTTAAATTTGTTTTTTAAATCCAGTTTCAAAATGGATTTGAATCAAAATCCAAATTCTACATTGCTATTTTAATTCATGGGAATATTACTTCTTTATTTAACTGTTACCAGGGCAAACTTAAGATTCACCTTTACTCAGGCAATCGAATGCCAAGGAAAAGATTCCCTGGAGACGTCTCAAAGCCTGAAAATAATACATTGCTATCTTAAACCTCGTTTCATATGAAAAAAATCATCTCAGTAATGGAAGATACATCCTAAAATGTGTGAAAAGGTCTAGAGCGAGCAGAAAAAAAGAGGGGCTTGAGCACTTACTAAAACAAGGTTGATCTGAGACAGGAAACCATGAATGATTCTTCTCACAAAAAGTATAGGTGGCAAGAGGAGGCACATAAAAATATCCTTTTTTACACCTGTAGGTTACTTCTTCCCCAACCTCATAATAGGGTTTAGGTACACCAACAAGCTCCATAGCTTCAAATTCTGGTGGCTCCTCACAGGCATCTAGGGACAAGAGAAGAAGAACACGAAGATGAAGTACTGGTATCACTTTCACCAGCCAGGGACTGTGGTCTGGCAGCAGGTGGTACAGAAAAAAATAGAAAGGTCCTTGGCAAGATTTTGAATGATTATTCCATGCTTAAAGTGGTGGTGGTAGTAGAAGAATGTGTCTTGCTTGTTTTAGTAACACCCAATTAGCTTTTGGTCTGTTTGGGAATAAACTGAATTTTCACTCAACAGTAAACTGAAGAGATACCATCAATGTCTTTGGTCTTAAAAAATACACATAGGTATGCATCTTTCCCCATGTTTTTCTAATGTCATTTAAAAATTAACCTCTCCTCTAAGAAATCTTCTATAGTATATAACACGCTGCTCAGATTACTCTCCCACAGTTTGAAACAAAAACTTATGACACCTTGTGACTTCGGCTCTGTCTCCTCTTAGAAGGCAAGTTCCTAGAGATCAAGGACCATGTCTTCTTTTTCTGCTATGCTGTACCCAGTGGGTGCTCAAGAAATGCTATGATAAGAGGTGATTATTAAATAAACATGGTGGATTTCCGAGATCAAAATAAAGACGGACCAAAATATAAGACTTCATTTCATTTGTTTTATATAAATGAATTGAGCGTCTTGTAAGTGAACAGATGCCACTGAAGTATGAAAATTTGCTACTTTGGATAGCCTTACGTGAATTTGGTTTGGTTTGGTTTTCTTGAACATTAAACACAGTTTAATCTTTCCTCACTGATCATTGCATCATGCCTTCCCTCAGAAGTCCCTGAGGTGTCTGTTGGGCTGTTTATCCAACATATCTCTACAGTAAAGCTACTATATTGCTGTGCTTTCAGAATTTTTTATTTCTGTTTTTTTGTAGGTTTTTTTTTTCCTCTCTAGAGTGGTATTGCTTCTGCAATTCATCTTCCTTTTAATTATCTGTGGGCTTGTAAACCTAACAAATATGTTAGAACACTTATGTAAAATAAGATGATAGCGACATCAAGTAAAGGCCTAGAGGGCTGAAATAATACGAAAGTCTCTCCTACGAGGGAAGGACCCAAAGAGATAAATCTATTTTGATCTCTGACGAGCCTTTTCATTTTTACTCCCTGGATCTCGGTCATATTTCAGATTGAGAGATTGGTCAAGAGAACTCTAACCAAGGGAAATGTTACTCTCATTTCATGTCATATTCTAAATTCTAAAATTCTCCAGATATATGCTGTCCAACATTTTATTTACGTCACGTCCTGCAGTCCACCTGTCGGCAGTAAGTTTTCAACATTTCCACTATGCTTGACCTTGATATCTGAATGTTCCTCAATCAACTGCCTAAAACAAACAAACAAACAAACAAAGCAAACAAAAAGCTCTAGTAATTAAAAGCATTGTTTAAACAGAAAATCAGTATAGAGTTGAGTTTTATTGCTAACATTAAACTTGCAAACTACCCTGAGCCAGGCATTGTCATTTTACAATAGGAAATAAAAAGAGCTAGAAATGCTATATAATTCTGCTTTAGAAAAAAATGTTTAACATCATTCTAGAATTTCCTGGAACCACCAAGACAGAAATCAACTAACAGCATGCCAGTGTTAAATCAGTATCCTTTGTATTATGCTTTTAAGTTTAGTAACTCTCTCGAAAGCAGACACAAAGAGGATTCTTAATCTTACTTTCACATGTAGTGCTCTATATGGAAAAAGAAATATCAGTTAGATGATTTAGTCCATTCAACTAATTCTCCTCCCTAACCTACACCAAAAAAGGCATGTTTTCAACACTGTGCAGAGTTTAAAATTTTTGGTTTGCCAACCAGTGGATTAAATACTTTATATACTGTAATAATTATGTCCAATATCACATTTTTATATTATAATACAATGTTTTCCCCTGATCAGGAACACTGAACTTTCTTCCTATGGAGATTTTCAAATTAAACATTCTCAGCTCCAGAAAAACAGTATCTTGACTTATTTCTTCCAGATATTTTACAATATAATTAATACTAAGCTGCAATGCTATACTTTAATAATAGATGCCATTATGTAATATGATAGGCTGCATTCAGAAAATTCCCCAAAGTTCCAGGTCTGTTTCAGTTAAGTGAATTACTTCTTTGCACTGGATATATTCAACCGTCCACCTTAGCTACACTGACACCTGCTTGCAAAATTAACCCTGTGAAGTGGGCATATACCCACACCCCTACCTAGATTGCTAGCATCAGAAATTCATGGTATCTGACCACAATTGGAATTGCAAAGAAACCTGACCATCTTGCTCCTTCTCCCACTGTCCATACAACCTTTTTTTAAACCTTCTTTGTTCCTCGAAACACAGACTCTGACATTTACATCTGTCAACTTTATTTCTCACCTCCCACTCATTTTTAGGCCCACAAAAATCACTCCAATTACTTTTAAAATCATTAAATGTCCTCCTTGTTAAATTTATCCTAACAGTCTCTTCCTCTGTAGTTTTAGTTACCCTCTCAATAATATCTGGAGCCACTGATTAAACATCGCACTAACATGGTGCCGACCACACTTATCTGGGCGTCTGTACCCCACCAAGACCCACAAAGACAGGGACCATGTCTATGGTTTGTCTATACCCCAGCATATCACAGAGAAAGAGTAGGAGCATTGCAAATGTATGTTGAAAAATTAAGAGGAACGGAGACAGAACTGGAGAACGAAACTGAGGTAGAGGGAAACCACCCGGCAGGAATCCGAGCCATGAACTTGGAGGAAGCAGAACTGGCTAGCTCTCCTGGCCCTAGAAACCAGCCCCAGAGAAATGTGACAGTGCAACCAGTATAGCCCATGTGAGGAGATCCGTGATGACGTAAGTTGTGAGTCTCAGCCCCTTCCTGGGGTGGCACAGGAAATGCAGGCCCTGATGTTGGGGGGGGGGTTGGGCAGACTGACTCTGACTCTCCCTGCCTCTATAGATAGTCTCCGTGCTGGGTGGGGAAGACAGGGAAAGCAGGGGGGCACTCTCTGCTCATTCTCTTCTGCCAGAAGGGCTCTCTCTCCCTGGCTTCTGGGAAAGCACACCATCCTGGTTTTCCGAGTGTCCTCTGGCTACTGTTCCTTTTCTGCCTGAAGGGATAGTGTATTGTCTCTGATGGATCTGGTGAAAGACCTTTTGTTATTTCCTTCTGCAGGTCCCCTGGGTGAGTATGTACACTCCCATGACTTCCTTACCACTGATTATCAGCTGCCTCCCAGCTGGATCCCTCTGTCCATCCTAGATCTCTAGGTGGGGTGCCGAGTCTGTATATTCAATTGCCTCCCTACATGGCTCCACTTGCAATGAGTAACGCTATCTCAGATAACACCGTGATGACCAAACGTGGTCACTTTTGATTCTTTGTGTTCACACGTACCCAGCAAACAAGTTATTTTGCCAAAAATGAAATGCT